CCCAGTGCCCCCCAGTGCTCCCCAGTGCCACCAGGGCCCCCCAGTGCCACCAGGGCCCCCCAGTGCCACCAGTCCCTCCCAGTGCCCCCCAGTACTCCCCACCCCCCCCCAGTACCCCCCGGTCCCTCCCAGTTCCCCCAGTACGCACCAGTGTAGTGCTGCATGCCCGCGTACGCCTGCTGCAGGGGGTCCCCGGGGGCCGCGGGGCTCTGGGCTGGGGGCACAGGGGGGGTTAGGGGGGGCTCCGGGGGGGCTCGGGGGGCTGGGGAGGGGTCGGGGGGCACCTGGGAAGGGGGGGACCCCCCCGGCGTAGACGGCGTCGGGGGCCGGGGGTCCCGCGGGCTGCGCGGGCACGGGGCTGTAGCCGTTGACGCTCAGCGGGGCCGCGATGGCTGGGACGGGGGTGGCCGCCATGGCCGGGGGGGTGCTGGTTCCTGGGGACAGCGAGGTCACCAGCGGTCACCAGTGGTCACCAGCGGTCACCACCGGGACACCAGCGGTCACCACCGGTCACCACCGGGTCACCACCGGTCACCACCAGGACACCGGGACTGTGACCCCGGGGAGCCCGACCATGGCAGAGGGTGAGGAACTCCCCATGGGTTTGGTGGCAGTTGAGTGTCCCTGTCCCTTGTGTGGTGTCCCTCTCCCACCCTTGGTGTCCCACCCTTGGTGTCTCATCTCTCACGTTCCCCCCACGTCCCATCCACGGTGTCCCCATCAAATCCACAGTGTCCCCATGCCATCCATGGTGTCCCCATCCACGGTGTCCCCATCCCATCCACAGTGTCCCCATCCTGTCCATGGTGTCCCCATCCTGTCCACGGTGTCCCCATCCCATCCATGGTGTCCCTATCCACGGTGTCCCCATGCCATCCACGGTGTCCCCATGCCATCCATGGTGTCTCCATGACATCCATGGTGTCCCCATCCCCATGTCCCCACCCCCATGTCCCCCACCCCCCATCCCCTCCCAGCTGTCCCCGCTGTCCCCGCTGTCCCCTGTCCCGTTACCTGAGGAGGGTGGCAGGGGGGTGGCGATGAGCCCGTTGGGGTTGACCGTGCCCATGTGCTGCATCTGCACGGCCATGGTGGCCATGGGGCTGAGGTAGGCCGAGTGCGCGGCCACCAGGGCCGCCTGCTGCTGCATCAGCTGTGGGGACACACCTGGCACCGCGCGGCCACCGCGGCCACCGCGGCCACCGCGGCCACCGCGGCCACCGCCACCCCAGGGAGCCCAGCCCCATGGCACCGACAGCCCGGGATATGGGAGCAGCATCTCCCCATGGATGTCACCCCAATGTCCCCGGTGTCCCCGGTGTCCCCGATGTCCCCAGCAGCCCCAGTGTCCCCAATGTCCCTGATGTCCCCGGTGTCCCCAATGTCCCCGATGTCCCCAGCAGCCCCGGTGTCCCCAATGTCCCCGGTG